CTGTGTGGGTCTCACTTGGTTCCTGCGTCAGATACGCCAGCCTCACAAAGTCATGTTGTGACAGGTTTGAGTCCAGGGAGATGTAAATACAGACTGGGTGCTAGGCGACAACGAGGGATTCCTGTCTTTGTCAGGTGTGATCGTGGCCTGATGTTTGCATTGTCATCAGTCCCAGTCTGACGGGCACTGAAGTGTCAGGGGCTAAGATGTCCATGTTTGGGATCCACCGTGTAAGGCTTCTGGAAGAGGAAAGGAGGGATCTGAGTGTTCACTGTCCAAGCTCGGTATGAGCAGAGACAGTGACCCTCTCTGCTTTCGTGTTGGCGAGTTTCTGTAATCAAGTTGCAGAGCAGGGCCAGTATGGTCCCCACGCAGGGGCTCCTGAGCGTGTGTCGCTAGCACAACATCCCCACGACCACAGAAAGGGTCGAGGGCACTATGGCTGCTAGGAAGCTGGTGACATGACCGGCATGGGGCTCGTGAGCAAGGTGACAGCTGTTGCCCAGAGGACAGTAGGAGAAAGTTGGAACTGGTGGTTCTCGGGGCTGGCAGCAGGCTCTGTTGGGTCACTGACACCCCTCGAAGCCAGGGGCAGTAGGGGATGTGGAGCCTTTGAACCAGTTATTCATGTTTCGTCTTCCCCAAGCTTGCCTTCTCCCAAAGTAGGCAGCAGGGAAGAGCCTGTGATAGTCAAGTTAGGCCGGGGGTGAGGGCTGTTGGCACAGGCACATTCACGGACCTGCTTTTCGAGGGCCTTTACCCCGGGTCAGCCGAGGTCCAGGAGCAGCGGCGTGCGTCGGGAGGTCAGCAGCCTGACACCGTGCCACGTAGCTCCCTTCCTCGGTGGGCATTTGATCCCCTCAAGACCTCACGAGTGGGAGAGTACAGGACAAGGTACGTTGAGAGAGCACGTTCACGTACCTTCTATTGGAGTATATTGTTGGGTTCTGGTTAATCTCTTTCTGTGCCTAACTTGCAGATTAAACTTTATCACAGGTGTGCACGTAGGGTTTGGTATGCTCGGTTTGGGGCATTTCCCGGGTTCTGAGAACATAGACCTCATGGATAGGGGGGGTGTCTCCTGTGTGGGCTTCCTCAAGGGCCCCCACCTTCAGTGCTACCTAGAGGCGCCATTCCCTCTGTGTGGGATGGTTCTGATTTTGTGGGGGATGTAGTGTGGTGCTCTAGCCCAGGGCTCAAGATGTCTCTTCTGGAAAGTGTCTTTTCCAGTAATGTTGCTCGTTCCTTTTGCTTTCTCCTGAAAATCCTATCAGCTGTCTTGTTTTGCCTTCTTTGGCTTTTAATCTGTTTTTTGTATTTTTTGTTTCGCTGGATTTCATTCATTTGGAGTCCACTCCTCAGATCTTTGAGTTCACCGACTCCTCTTACTTGTGATGGTGACCAGAGTTTTCATTTCCAGAAATGGTTTCGTTCTTTTTCAGGTGTTTTTAATTTTTGTGGTGCATTGTTTATTCATTATGGCTCTTTTCTTTCCAGGTGGGGTTTTCTTTTTTCTAATATTTAGGTAGAGAGGAGGCAAGCAGGATAGAGAGAGGGAAAGAGAATTCCAAGCAGGCTCCGCACTGTCAGGTCTCAGCACAGACCCCAGTATAGGGCTCGAACTCATGAACCATGGGATTATGACCTGAGCCAGAATCAAGAGTCAGACTCTTAACCGACTGAGCCACTCAGGTGCCCCTCTTTCCAGGCGTTTTAAATATACTTACTCCTTGGTCTCCTAAATTTTCCCCTTGTTTCAACATCTTGGGTGTTCCATTTCCTTTGTATGTTGTATCTGTTTATACTGGGTTCAGTTCTTTGTGAGCTGTAACTTTGTTATAGTTGTGTCTTTGGGGGTTTGGTTGGGGGTACCAATGTGCCCTGGGCTGTGGAAACATTCCTACAGAGAGGAGGGACATTTGTTTCCTCGGGGGCTCCCAGAGATTTTCTTGCCCTGGGCAAACCCTGGGGCCCTTTGGGGGCTGGAGTGGGTTTGGACCATATGCCTCCGCAGGGGCGGGCTCAGGGTTTGGATTTCTCCTGGGCTGTGTCTCCCAGCCCGCGTCCTTGCGAGACGCTGTTTGTCTGGGTTGGCGAGCAGGATAGGCTTCTCATTGTCAGCCTGCCCAAAGGGTCCCCAAGAGCTCCTCCTGTTTGTCACTCAGGGCTGTGTCTGGTCTCTGCAGTGCCCTCCCCCTTTATTCATTTAGCATATTCAAGGTTAAATTCTCTTGTTTTTGGCATTCTTAGTTTATTGGAAGAAAGGGGAGATCTGTATCTTCCGGCGCCTGGTAGGACAACACTAAATTACGTTCTCATGGTTTCCCCGCAGTCCCAGTGAATTGTATCAATCTTTAGCTATCGGATGGGCCAAAAATGTTTTATTTTTCTTAAGATACTGGGAAGGCTGAGTGTTTTCTAATGTTTCCTGGGCGCAACTTTTGTTAAAATTGGCCATTACTGGTATATTATGGTCTAAGTGTGTGGGTGGGATGGTGGTGGTGTTATTTTGGGGGGCAGGGGCGGGTGGGGAGTAGGTGCTGGAGGGCTCCCTCGGGCTGCACAGAGGTTCCTGAGGCAAACCTGGCATCCTGGGCCCCTCCTGCCCGGCGTGTTGACCGAGTGTCCCCTCCCCGCGTGACTGAGGGCCGGGGCCCTGGGACGAGTGTGGAGCGGGCCCTGCTGTGGCTGTCTGCGGGGGAGCTGCGGAGCCCTGGCCTCACCGCGCCGCCTTAGCTGTGGGAGGGCCGCGGTCTCCCTCCCTCGGGGCCTCCTGCCTTGGAGGTGCCTTGCGGTTGGTGGCACCACAGGCAGACACTGCTCCTCTGTGACTGCTCGGTGCCGGGGTTTCTTACCTTGGAGCCCTCTGTCGGGAAGGGCCCACGGGGTTTGGGGAGATGTTTCCGGCCCTCCCGTGGCAGTCATTCCCCTGTAGCCGTTGGCAGAGTTGTGGACTCCCTTTTCCACGGGAGAGGAGACCGCGTGTTTGGGCTCCGCCTGCACTGGGTGGCTCTCTTCTGCCTGCCCTCTGTTTTTACACGGTGCCGTAGCCTCGCGCTACTTCTTGTGAAAAAGCCTTTTCTCCTGGTTCTCCCAGTAAGTTAGTTGAATGTTATCTGTGCTGTTGGGAGGTGTGTCTTAAATGAGGCACTTGACAGATTATTTGCTTTTAAAATTTAAAGCTGGGGCACCTGGGGGCTCAGTCGGTTGTGTGTCTGACTCTTGATTCTGGCTCAGGTCATGATTCCAGGGTCATGGGTTCGAGTTCTGGGTCGGGCTCTGTGCTGAGCGTGGAGCCTTCTCTCTCTTCCTCTGCCCTCCCCAGCTCACGCACGCATGTGCGCTTGCTCGCGCGCTTGCTCTCTCTCTCTCTCTCTCTCAAATAAAAAATAAAAAATAAATCAGGGGCACCTGGGTGGCTCAGTTGGTTAAACGGCTGACTTCAGCTCAGGTCACGATCTCACAGATCATGGGTTTGAACCCTGTGTCATGCTCTGCACTGACAGCGTGGAGCCTGCTTGGGATTCGCTCTCTGCCCCTCCCCCACATATTCTCTCTCTCAGAAATAAGAAACAACTTAAAATAAATCCAGTCCGAGGTAATAGCACACGCGTTGGTGTTTGTGGTCCGGTGACCGTCTTTCAGGCTTCAGTGCTCACCTTTAGTTTTATCTGTATTTGTCCCCTAAATGATGCGTTCCAAAGGTGAAAGGCATCGTTTTTCTTAAGGTAAAAGCATGTCAATTTTTTCTTCTATAGTTAAATTCCTACCTGTAGGTGTGAGACTGGGAAGGAATGTGTGTTAGCCAGAACACGTTGATATTTCTTAGGGGCTCAGAAGTGGTTCATTTCTCACGGAGTTCTGTTTTCATCCTGTGAGCAGAGAGTTCTCTCAACTGGGAACAACACCTGTTTTGTGCTTTATTGTCAACCTTTTGGAAAAGCAAGTGAGGCATTGAAGGACGGTTTAGGCAGACCATTCATTCCATAGGAAGGGGAAGGCCTACAGTTAGTGCATGTGATTTCAGGCATTTCTGGGTTTCTGTTGCTAGGCAGATAACGGCAATACTAAGCAGCCAGTTGGAAGTGGGGACCTGAGACTTTGGCAGTGTTTGGGATTGAGGGCACTGTTGGGGGAGCTAGCAGAGACTTGGGGCAGGTGGGTGGAAGGGTGCTGAGCACAGCACACCAGAGGGACAGAGCGTTGACTTACTCAGGTGAGGCGGGTGTGTGACCTGCTCCTCGAATGCCCCTGCCCTTCCCCCCACCCCCACCCCAACCACCCCAGTTTGCTCTCCAGCCCCGGTAGCCAGTGACTGACACGCCCGCCCACCCTGAGAGCCACACTGGCAGTCGGCATATGCTTCCTCGATCCCTTTTTTGCTGGCGAATCTCCTGAACAGGTGTTGAATGAACGCTGGGCAGCGTACAGATACTTGAACCCTCGAGTAATCACAATTGCTCGCACTACGGTTTCTGGGGTGGAGGTTCTTAAGGCTCCGTGGCTTTTTCTTGTTTTCTGCCCCTGCTCGGGATGGATTTCCTCCTCCTTGGCTTATCACGCTGAGCCAGATCCTACTTGTTTGGAGAGACCTGCGTTGTGAGTGCTCTGAATTGGACGTGTAGCCCAGACTCTGCGTCTTGGTGTTTTAACATCGTTAGGTATCTGCCTGCATCGGCTGGTATTTTATCTTGACTGCACTTGTGATCTGTTAGCATAGCTCATGCTCGTGCTCTTTCTTCTGCTGACAGTCAGGGAGCATGGCCTGTCAGACGCTGAGCCCGAGCAGGGCGTATGGGGTGAGCCACGTACGGGCTGGGGGGGACGCCGGCTCCCTGACCTCAGGGCATGAGCATGAGGGAGGCACGGGCCTCTGGCAACTTCCCTTGTTGGCTGGTGCTCTCACGGGAGGTCCCTGGACCAGTAGCTCTGGGCTGTGGGGGCTGGCGTGTGTGGTCTCCAGTACTGGTCAGTGAAATTGCGTTACGTTTTTATTTCAGAAAAGCCCGTGTCTCCTAAATCAGGAACGTTGAAGAGCCCTCCCAAAGGATTTGATACTACTGCCATTAACAAGAGCTATTACAACGTGGTGAGTACCTGCAAAACCCATGTTAAGAATAACTTATTTTTTTTTTTGAATGTCTCTAAAACTCTGCAGTGTAGACTGTAGGTAAATGGTGTGGAGTATGAAGGAGGAAATAGAAATCATCTGTTGTGGGCTGCACAGTTACGACCACCGTTAACGTTCTGGTGTATTTTCTTCTAATCTTCCATGATCTTATGTTTTTGTTTACTACTTAAGTAGACTTATACCCTTCTGTTGTCACATAACGTAGTATTCCCTCCTACTGTTTCAAGTCCTTAAAAGCGAGATTGTAAAAAAGCGCACGATGTGATTTATAGGCGCCACGTGGCGTTTTACTTGTGCTTTGGATGGATTATAAGTACTTCAGATCAGTACTGTTTCTAGTTTACTTGTTTCTTGACATAAAGTCTCTTCCGGGATTGATGGATTCGTGCATCGGGTAGTGTGCAATTACAGGAGAGCATCTATACGTCGCACTCAGTGAAGACAAATGCTTCAGAATGGAACACGACGTTATGAAACTTAACGTGAGCAATATGTGAGCTTAAAAAATACCCGTGATGCTAGGTCTAGTGTCTAATCTACTCTTTCCTGGTCCCTAAACCATTGCATGGGCTGCAGAAATAGGAAATGGTATTATTTGGATCACCTTTGAAATGGCTGGCATATATTGGTGTGATAAACCGGCGTAGTACACTTTGTGAGTGTGGCTCTGTCTTCCATTCCGTGGAAAGTGTGCATTTTGCGTTTCTTCCCTGCTCCTGGTCTTGCACAGGACGCTTCCTGAGAAGCAGTGTCCACTTGAGTCCGTGACACCTGTGTGTCCTTGAAGTGAAACCACTATCGATCGGTGCTGCTTTGAGCATCTGAGTGTTTCACTTCCTGTGCTCCTGTAGGAAAAGGAGAGGACGCGTGATGGACGGAAGTCTGTTCCGCTGCGCTGACCTGTAGCCACAGCCTCTGCTGTGAGTTTGCGTGTTCGGCATGCCGACCATTCACTTCCCACTGGCCCCCGACCTTCCAGAGCAGGGTGACGTCGGGAGGGCTCCTTGCTCTGACGTGCGGTGATTGGACCCCTGCTCTGTGCCAGGCCCTGGTGAAGGCAGCAGGATGTGGCAGCCAGCACCTGTCCCCCTACCCCCCCACTCCCCCATCTCCTTGCTGCCTCTGCCTCCTTTCACTTCCACTCTTCTTGTCCTGTGGACTCGGCTTGCTGCCTCAGACTGGATTTCTACGTGTTGGTCGACACCAGGCCCTCTTCCCGAGCAGTCCTTGAGTCCCAGCCTCTGCTTCTCTGACTTTGTCTGGGTGCAGACTTCAGCCAAGCTGTGCGGGGCTCCCCAGCATGGCCCGTACCCCGAGGGGCCGCCTGCCTCTCCTGGTTCCGCTCTGCTGTCCACACCCTCTTTGGGTCTCTGTCGGATGTTCGTCGTGGATGTTCGTCCCCATGACGTGGCTCTTCCACTGCTTCGCTCGTTAGTATACGACGTGTTGCGTGTGCGGCTCTGTGTCCAAAGCACAGTGAGAGTGGTCTGGGGTGCTTGAGGGCCTCACCGGAGGCGAGCTTGGGGAGCGGCCTCTTCCTCGTGTTCCTCTGTGAGATCCGGGGTTCCGCCCAGGGGAGGGTGTCCTGGGCGGAGTACCAGTCCGGATCCACAGTGCTGCTCTGGAGAGGGGGCGGCTGCTCCTCTCTGAGGTTCTGTCCACTTAACCCTAACTGTTAGAGGAAGCAAGGCAGGGCCCCGCCCCTGGAGCCCACGTCATCTCTCTGGTCTTTGCAGTAGTCTTGCCTTCATTAGGGATTTTGCGGATGTAGGCAACCATGCTTTTCCAGAAGTCCTGGTAAGTTGTTGTCCTTTGCATTTTATGTTCTGTAACCCTCTTCAGCTTGAAGCATCATCAGTGCTTTTTTGGATTTCTTTCTTTGAACTATTCTTGTATGGGGGGGCAGGGAAGCGCCTTTATATCACAGGTGCTGTTCTGAGTCAGCCACTGTTTCATTGAGAAGGATGGGAAAACACCTTGACCTCAGAATCACATCCAAATTGTTGTTTTCATAAAGCTGTGTTGGTAAATAGCACATGTTAAAATTGTACTTGTTATGGACATAACTCAGAATCCATGGAAACCCTCTTTGGGTGTAGCACCCCTTTTACAGGGGAGAACATAGCTCTAGCTGTTAAAGGGCTTGCCCAGGGTCTGCCACTCTTTGGTGACTAAGCCAGGAATGAATTCCTCTTTTTTGAATCCTGTATTTATAAACGATGTAGAAAAGTAAACTGTAGAGCAGAATACAACATGTAAAGTAAAGCAGAAGAGCTTTTTCACACTGCCTGGCATGGCTTTGTTTTCACAGCAAACTGTGGAAGTTTAGGTATTTTTAACCCTGCTGATGGGAGAAGGTTCCCCAAGAGGAAGACTGTTGGTGAGAGACTGAGTCTCTGCTTGGGCTCAGCGGAAAGCAGTGGGGAGAGTTGTGGGTGGAGGTACGAGACTGGAGGTGGGCAGGACAGGATGGATGGGCGTCCTGTGGCTCCTGAGTGACGGTCGAGATCGCCCACCTATGCTGGCACGTAGCTAGTGCTTCTGGGTGGCTTAGGACTGTCCTGGGACTCGTGCTGTGCGTGCGAAGTGTCATGGTGTCCATGGGTCTCGGAGCTGCTGTGAGTTTTTCTTGTTTCTGTTCTTCAGACTGAAGGGTCTCTATTGTCCTTTCTGTTGGCTGATTGTTGTACATCTAGTGTTGGGCCCCTCGAGTGGATTTTTCACTTTTATCACACCTTTCAGTTCACAATCACCATTTGGTTATTTTTACGGTCAAATAGTGTATTTGTGTCACTGTTTATGTATGTTAATTCTTTAGGCATACCTGTTTTGGTTCTTTGGACGTTTTTAAAAAGACTCGACTTATTTTAGAGCAGCTTGAGGTTGACATTGGAGAGGGTGGAGCTTTGCCAAGGCCCCATGATCAGCACCTCTCAGGCTTGCTGGCTCTCCTCTTCATGCAGGATAGTCCCCTGCTGTCTGGACCGACCAGTTTGTCCATCACCCACTGGAGGACCTCTCACTTGCTTCCGGGTGTTGGTGATTGTGAACGAAGCAGCTGTGAACTCGCGTGCGTAGGTTTTCTCGTGGACGTGTTTTCAGCTCGTTGGGGTGAATGCGAAGGACTGTGATTGTTGGGTGTTGTGGGGAGCGTGTTCTCAGTTCTGTAAGAAACCGCACACGGTCCTCCAGGGAGGACCCCTGTGGGGCATCTTCTGCCACGCCTGCTGGTGTCTGATCAGGTTTCGCTGATGGACGAGGTGTGTGGTGCCGCCTCAGTGTCTCAGTCGGCAGTTCGCGGATGACCTGTGTCCACGTGCTTACTGCCACCTGTAAGGTGTCTGTTCAGTTCTGCTATCCACTTTTAAATTTGGGCTCTCTTAGGGAGCTGTAAGTTTAACTTTGACTATAGTTTGAGGGCGATGTGCACGGGTGTGGTGTTTTGGCATTTATGCTGCCTGGTGTCCTCCGAGCCTCCGGGGATCTGTGGTTTTGGTGTCTGACATTAATTAGGGGAAATTCTCCGTCTTCATGGCTTGAACTCTTGTGTTTCTTCTCCTTCTGGTACTTCCACCGTGTGTATTTACACCTTGTGCAGTCCCCACCATCCTTGGATGTTGTGTTTTCTCTGTCTTTTCAGCCCTGAGGGATGCTGTTAAGGCCTGTGGCGCTGGGATTCTCTCTGCAGCCGTGTGCGATCTGCTATTGACACCATTACGGGCATTCTTCATTTCTGTTAGTGTTTCTCCCGGTTTTCAGTTCTTGGGATTTCCACCTCCTTGCCGGTCTTTTCTTGCATGCCATCTGCTTTCTGCGTTAGAACCCTTAGCATCTTAATCTTCTTGTTCTTAGTTCCTGGTGGGATAATTCCAGCGTCCCCACCATGTCTTCTTCCGATGCTTGCTTTTCTCTTCAGACTGTGTGTTTTGCCTTTTGCTGAGTCTTGTAAGTTTTTGTCGATAATTGAACATCGTGTATCATGTAAAAAAGGAAGTGCTCACTGAGGGGGTGAGGTGTGCGGGGAGAGGAGGGGGGCGCTCCATCAGGGAGCCTGTGCCTCTGGACCATGAACTCCACTGGTGTGTTTTAAATTCTCCCCCCCACCCCTCCCCTCCCTCCTGCCTGGGGATCAGGTGGCCCAAGGGGGCTGGGCTGTTGGTCTTTGCCAGGGCGTTTCAGCAGGCTAGTCTGAGTTAACTAGTTTCCCTGAGGGCAGGCCTCATAAGTACCAGGATGCTGAGCTGTTATTTCCAAATGGCTCTTCCAGTGGTTCTTCTTTTCTCTGCTGAAAGCCCAAGGGTGTTTTTCTCTGAGGCTTTGGGAATTTGGTCATACTCCTAGATGATAATATCCCAGTACTGAGGAGGCCTCTCTACGACTGGGTCTCCCCCAGAGTTTTGAACTCACACTTGTCTGCACTGAGCCTCTAGCAGTCCGTCAGTGATGGTTCACGTTTTCCCGCCCCGTTGCTGGCTCGCAGTGTGGTTTCTTCTGGGGCGCCCGGGCTCCGGCAAGTAGGGCTCCCAGGGTGTGTTGGCCTCTCCAGACTTGGGGTGAAGGTTTGCCTTGCGTCCTGTCCTCTCTACCATAGGGGTCCAGCAGGAGTTGATTTTTCAGTCTGTTCAGCTTTTGACTTCGTTGGATGGAGTATGATTTCCACACAGAAACAGGCAAAAGCAGAAGTCCCTGTTTGAACATATTTAGAGCAGCTTTTTTTTTTATTTTTATTTTTTTAAATGTTTATTTTTGAGACAGAGACAGAGCATGAATGGGGGAGGGTCAGAGAGAGAGGGAGACACAGAATCCGAAGCAGGCTCCAGGCTCCCAGTTGTCGGCACAGAGCCCGACGCGGGGCTCGAACTCACAGACTGTGAGATCATGACCTGAGCTGTAATCGGACGCTTACCCAACCTAGCCACCCAGGTGCCCCTAGAGCAGCTATTTTGAAGACTTTATCT